TTACAAACACTGGAGTTTGTCCAGTGTTTGTCCTTCTCACACAGAGGATCGCTAAGTATCACTGATTTACCCATCCCCCGCTCTGCCACGCACAGAGCCGCTGTCATCCTGAGACTGACAGGATGACAGCGGCTCTAATCTCCTACCCGCTCGGCCATCCTGACAGCTGCGGGCGCGGCTTCTCGGGGGGACAAGGGAGCGCTGTCATATCGGATGGCCATCGCCCAGCGGTGAGGGGGAGAGAAGCCGCCCCCAGAACGAGCTGTGTCGGCCGCACGGCGCCCTTGTTGCCATGGCGCCCTGTGCGGCTGCACTGCTCGCACACCCCTAAGGCTGGCCCTGAAAGTACGATCTGCCCGTCCAAGGTGGGCAGATCGTACGAGCTTTCAAGAAGCATACGACCATCGCAAGACAAAAGTCTTGCGATGGTCGTAAGGTGTATGGGCACCTTAACACCCAGTGCCTGAATCATGTTAGAATGACAGTGCTTTAAAGTGCAATACCTCATGGGACAGAATCTCCAGCTGTATGTTTGATTTCTGCTGTGCAGAGGATTGTGGGAACTGGGGAGAAGCCATAAAGACATATCCCAGGTAATTATATTAGCTGTACCCTTACATACATTTGATGATTTTTAATACAAAACCCAACTGGAAAAAGGGCTTTTCATTCTCATGCAGTTCAGATTAAAACTTACCACACACATTACAATTTGATTGTACATCTCCTTTAGATCTGTTAATTGAATGCATAGTTCAGATTTGTCCTCATATTACATAGTTTTGGTAAAGCTAAAGAAGATTGTACTGAGATTGTACAATCTGATTGTATAGTGCAGGAGTGCCCACAATTTTTTGTGTTAAGATCTACTTTTCAAATGACAAGCTACATGAGATCTACCAACGAAAAAAAAAACCTCTCTCGCTCTCTCTCCTGGCTGTCTCTCGTTCTTCCCTCTCCTTGCTGTCTCTCCTTGCTCTCTCTCCTGGCTGTCTCTCCCCGTTCTCTCTCCTGGCTCACCTTGCTGTATTTTGCAAACAGTGTAGTGCAACAGTCTGTGTAAAGTAATATTATTTGATGTAATACATAGCACTGGATTCACCAGAATCCACCAGAAAGGTGTCAGGGAGCTTGGCTCAGCAGACTCAGGCTAATAGGTAATCATGTGTGCACAGCTATTATACCAAAATGGAATAAAGGGGCCACCATTCACACCCTTCGTAATCTACCAGCATCAGCTTTGAGAGCTACTGGCAGATCACGATCTACCTAATGGGCACCCCTGGTATAGTGCATGGCCAGCTTAAGACCAGCAAACTCAGAGTGATCGTCACTGGGGTCAGTTAACCCCGCAGTTAACCATTTACACACACAGATTTTTGTTTATGGAAACACAGCATCCATAATAATATCTGCGGTATTAGTTCTGACCTTTATAAAATGACTGTGACACTCGCTGCCATTCCGGACAGGAAGGTAAAAGAGTTTAAAAAATGGTAGCGCTCTTCGAAGAGCCAAGAATTCCTAACTTTCTGACTCCACTTTTTGTGGACCCTCCAGAGGGTGTCTCTGAGCCAACCCTCACTCAATTATGAGAACTGTGGAGTTTGATATTTCAGCAGTCCTCCCTCAAAGCCAGTTTCTTACTGTATTAATACTTCCAGATGACCATATTTTACATTCTGACTACCAATATTTTACTGAATAATATGTAATAACGATTTGATAGATATTAAACATGATATGGATTTTCTTCCCAATCTCTTGAGAGATGTAATGTGCTCAATCTGCCTTCTGTACATTATGGCATGGGCATGTCTGGTATCAAACTAATTGGTATTCTCTGACACATTAGCATATCCGTGTTTTATACTGATATAGACATTTTACAACTGCTATTAGCAGGCCTGGATTAAGAGCGATCCTGCTAATGGGCTTTATGACATCCAGTTAGCCATTTACGACCTGATTCCATTAGGAGGGTTTGCAGATCAGGGGCTCTGCATGGGATTATTGATCCTGCTAAACATTTTGTTTACCCAACTTGATCTACTGGAGCTGGTTATGTTCTTGTGTGGTGTTCAGTCTTGTCAGTGACTTCCAAAAGTTGTCATCCCTTGCTGGAGCACAACAACAGATTTAAACCTACATTTTGAATTTCAGAGAAATGAGGATGGCATGGTGTACAATCTGACTCCACCACTCTCCTTACTTATTTTGGGTTCATTGGACCTCATTATTGTCAAGGAGGGCATCAATTATGCCAAAAGCCACACTGCCATGATGACACCAATGCCAGTCTCTGCACCAGTACACTGTGTAGAGTGCTGAGGTGACTACCTTTCAGGGGGTTGTCCCTTGACAACTTGCACTCACAGTGGGGTTCATTTACATGCCGGGCGGATGCCGTTTAGGTGGTCACATGGCTCTAGCACTCCTAGATGGCGCTGAAGAGTATATACTCATCAGCGCCATCTATGGGTGCTCGTGCCATGCGAATGGAACTTTTAGAAATGAACCCCAGTGTGTCCTTGCTGGGTGTCTTTCAACTTGGAAGACTGAGGACATCTTGTGGAGGAGAAGAGATACTGAGGGGGAAAACTCCAGAGAGGGAGCCTGTGCTGCTTTATTATTTTAAACACTGAATTGGCTTTAAAGTTTGTATTTTCAGGCGGGAGCTCATCCCAAAATGCTGTCTCTCACTCATTGTACATCCTAAAATCTGATGTACAAATGTTATGTTTTACATCTTCTTATTAAGTGTGGAATTTAAAGTGGAACGGTAGATTTCCAGTGATTTCTCCTGAGTCCTAAAAGGGAAATACTGGCTTTTTAAATAGGGGTTGGTCAGGGCCCACTCCAGTGGCCAGCGGTATGTTGGAGCATTAGCCTCCTTGCAATGTAACTGCTGTGATAAAACCCATCTCAAGGAAAGCCATTTTGGAACTACATTGTAAAAATCTATTTCACTATGTGAGCTGCTTAGGTACACACACTGTGTGTATGTATGTATGTATGTATGTATGTGAGATAGGGACCTTAGACTGTAAGCTGCTTGAGGGTAGGGACTGATGTGATTGTGTAAACACAGCGTAAATTGTCAGCAATATATAAATACCCCCTAATAAATAAATAATACACTTTGCATGATAATTGTCAAATAATGATTTACTCTTCTTTTATTTAAACATATAGAGGGAGGATAGCGGGATAGGGTGGGGTGTGTTTAGGGTAGTTCAGATTGTTCTTCTTTCTTTTGAATTTTTTTCTCCTTTTTGTATATATTTGGTGGTTATTTGTGTATGATCACTTTAATTTTTTGTACATATTTTCACTGTTTTTCCGTCTCTTAATTAAGTGAAATAATGAGGTTTAACGAGGGGCTGTTTATTGGCATGAGAACAAGTCAAGGATAAATGAAAAGAACCACAACTACCCCCCCCCCCCCCCATTTCACAAACCCACCATTTTCT